TCTACAATAGCAGCCTTTAAATAATCAAGTCTGGACCGGACGACCCAGTGATCGATATTATGAGCAATAATACACACAAGCAGGTATAATGACACTGAATGGGTGAGTATGGTTTTATGACGTTTTTGGCAATATTCCAGCAATATCACGTCAGTGAACACCAGTAATGGGCTTCACACATTGTACCCATGCTGGGAATCGAACCCAGGTCTTTGGTGTGATGAGCGAACGCTTTAACCACTAGTTTTCTCCACCATCCCAAACACTGATTCTTGCACGACATTGTGTGATACTCGATTCTGATTGGCTAAGAGCTCATCAAAACCGTACTTAAATGGCAGTTTAAGACCGCTAATTAAAGTGACCGATTCACCGCGTATGAATACAACGAACTCGTTGACCCTATTGTTTGTAAACAAACATGTTGGACATCGGCAATTTCTATCTCGGCAGCATCTTTGGTGTTTTTGAAGTAAAAAGCGAATGGTTTGAAGAAGAATTTCTTCACCCTAATCCCAGTGAAGAAACTACGGAGCTGGAAAGTACGTCAGCAGTGCAAAAGCCGCAGTATATTCAAACCGGTCCCAATCTACGTGTGTTGACGCCGACAACACACGCCGCCCACACGCCCTAACCTGACTGCTTCCGTCCCGCCATAATGCCCAGTCCTTCCACTTCCACTGTCCATGTATCCCACATAAAATGTGGCATGTCAGGTCTTTTCCAAATTGGGAACAGTAGGGTGGTTATCAACAATTATGTCTGTGAATAAAGTTTGCAGCTTACTTAAACTTAGCGAAGTTCACGGGCTTGAATTTGGGCAAGTCCATAGTCATAGAATCAATATTTCAGCTTGAGAAAAATCAAATAATTGTACTTGCTCACAGTATAAACTGTATTTTGATTTATTTATGTATGCTACTTGTTACAAATACAAGCATACTGGTTCCTGAAATAAAGCATTTATGTTGTTGAAAATGTCTTATTTTGTTCATTACACAACCTGTCCCTCAACGGGACGATTCCAAGCGATTTCCAGGAAAAGGCCCCTTCAAGACCTTGTGTTCTTCTTGCGCCCAAACAGTTCGGTTTTAAAACGCTTTATCAGTCGTGCTAGAATGAAGATAAAGTTATTTGTTTTCAATTTATGGTCCTTTATCATGTTGATTTAAGACCGCTAAATGTTTAATTTAAATTACATTTAGCGGTCTTAAATCAACGATAAAGGGCCGCAAAATTGAAAACAGAGTAGCTATATCTTCTAAATGAAGCATAACCAACTAGTCTCGTAATATACAAGAATACCATACATGGAACATGATTCTACATACAAACTTCAAAAAGAGATAAAAAGAACAATTGGAACCCCATATACTGAAAGAATATATCTCACTAGAAATAAAGTCATTACTCATATATACCAATGAAGACTACCCAAGAAGGATGATCATGTGAAAATATCATTCACTTCGTAAAGTTAAGCAATAAAGTAAATTTAAAACCTTCATCCCATTACACAACCACAGATACCAAAAATATGAAGTGATGCTATTTACAAAAACTTTGAACACTGGCATGAAAATTTCATCAAAATATGATATATTTACAGATTCTGTAATATCAAAAATATGTTTGTTGCGTTTGTGCGGGGGTAATATTAATGCCAACATGCTGGACAGATACTTCAGATCTATCTAATACTTGATCGCAAAGTGTGAGTATTGTCTGTGCTAGTCTACATACCAGTAATTGAGAGAGTGAGGGAGTGAGTTTAGTTTTATGCCGCACTCAGCAATATTCTAGCTATATGGCGGCAGTCTGTAAATAATTGAGTCTGGACCAGACAATCCAGTGATCACCAGTAATTGACAAGGACAAGGGACCAGGGTTCATTATCACAAAATTTCCACAAAACAATGTTATGTATCAAAATCAGATTGCATCAGTTGATCTCCATGTAAATAGGAAAAGTGGAGAGAAAAAGAAACTTGTTCAAAAAGCTCCAAGAATTTATAACATACTTCATATCAGTTTTTTTATAACATCATCAACATTACACCTGTATTCCTATACAATACCTCAGCATGAACCCCACTGGTTGTGTCAGGTCAATCTGTTTCTAGCATGAGAAGCATTCAAACAAGCATTTTGTACTTTTTTCTTTAAAACTGAAGTTGAATATGTAGTGCCAAATGTAAATAAGTAAGGCCATCTATTAACTGTTGTGGGTATTTAATACAGTCTGTCATTTCTACACACTTCAAGGAAAGTATCATCATAGAATTATGTCACACTTTAAGGAAAGTATCATCACAGAATTATATGTATTCTGTGTTGTTGGTTAAAATCAAATTTTCCAAAACAAAGTGATAACTTGATGACAAATGAACGATACTGTTGATGAACTGATCATTACACAGACGAGTGTATAGGCACAACTTATATATACTCCAATCTGAGTGAGTAAGCATTTATTTCCTCTTTCCGTTTCATGGAATGTTTTCGATTGACCAAAGACCAGATTGACTCAAAATGTTTATAAGAATATTTACAATACAAATAACAAAATATTGAATGTAGTGCTTCCTCCTCAAGTCTTCCTTCTACCTTCAGCTGGGGTGGCAGGTCACAGGTCACAAGTCAGAGGTCACAGTTTTTTTCAGCAGTAAATGAGTCTCTATAGGAACAAGGCAGCTATGGTGAGTTGGGTTCAATGCCACTTTAAAGAGTATATAATGCATATTACTTACATCAGTGTCAGCAGGAGGAAAATATGACGCAATACTGATAAACCTACAAACATACCAGGTAGTCCGGGATTAAATCCACCATCATGTTTCCGGCATGCACAAAATATTTTGGCATCTTTAATGACCTGGCCACCATGTCACACCGATTTATGAGCATTTGGGAGCTACTTGACCTCGAACATCATATTGGCCACCATGTCACACCGATTCATGAGCATTTGGGAGCTACTTTACCTCAAACATCATATTTTAGATGTATCATAGCGCACTTTGATCAACAAGTGAGGCACAAGAGAGGAACAATCATATACCAAGAAATTAGAGACTGAACACAATGTAATTTAAATTGAGTAGACAATGAATATTATCTTTTATCAGTATGTACTAAACAGAACATGAAAAACATACCTGAAACCAAACCATTTTTATCAAAATATAGCACAATTTGTTTCTAAGATGAAATCAGAAAGACAAACTTATTTACAACTTATCAAGGAATGTTTAACATGACATGTCGATCAAAAAATAATTTGAGAATACAGATTCTCAGCATATACATTGTACTACATGTACCATGTGCCTCAGACCTGTTGGTATTGAGAATCAAAGACTACTACTATTCTACCCTGGACATCAAAGGTGGACGACTAGAATCAGTTGTCTTACTCCTCTGCAATGCCCCTTTAATCAAGTCCTAACACTGACAACAGCACAGCAATTATTCTACTGAGTATATCACCTAAACATTAAAATATCTAGAACAGATGCTACATATTCCCCAATCTGGAGACTCCATTATGTCCAATCATAACACCAGTCCCAGTACCTGGGGTTAACAGTTATACCATGTATGCTCGGTAAACATTTAAAAACGATTTTGTGCGACATTATACTTTCGCCAGCGTTAAATAAAAGAGTTGTATAACTTGTGTAATAACATAACAAGTAACACTAGTATAATGCTAATAACAAATGATAACTGTACAGTGCCTACCAAACCAAACTATACTACTCAAAATAGTTAAGGACCAACCGATTCTTTCATATTACCATTGTTCATGTGCCACAGCATGGTTTAACTATACCAATAAAAAAACTTATGGTTCTTAACTTGTTTTTGAGTAGTATATATCATGCTGTGGTACTTTTCTACTTACATAAAATATATAGCTATATGTATATGCATGTATAGGAATATAATACATCTGTATATTCAATACCAAACATGAAACCTGACTGTTATCTAATTACAGGAATACAGACATTACGGAAATGTTCATCATGGAATAAGTTGGAACAATAAATGGTAAATGTTTTTTTGGACCCCGTAAATTACTTTCCCTTTAAAAAGTGATAACAAACAAAAGTCATAAGAGTTATCTCCCTTGCGTTATCAACATTTCCCGTTCATTGGCTAAATCTGATGAATGGTGATGAATTCATCGTATATTTGGAAATGTTATCACTAAAAGAGTGAGATAACATGTTAGCAGAGGTCAGTGTCACCACTTTGGATGAAGGGAGGAAACAAAATTAAACAATTTGAGTATATTTAATATGCCGAATAGGATATTCAACATGTACATCTCGTCTTGTAAGTGCTGGTCAAACATTCAAACAGTAAGAATATCATGGGTATATGGTCGGCAGATTAAACTGTAGCACCAACTGAATAAGTTCAAAACATTCAATATTTACTGAGAACCATTTTCATTTCGAGATATTCGTTTTCACAAATTTCAAACTCCATCTTCCTGTATGATCAAACAATCTGTTTCTGTATAAAATGACACAGTAATACCTCTTTCACAATCATGTCAATTAGCAATTGAGATTCAAAATATACACATATGCCCTATTAAAAGCACTACACAGCCCAAGTCATTCAACATTAAACTATGGATATAACAAACCCAGTCAAGACCAGAAAGATAAATTGTAGTTCGTTATGGCCGTTTTGAATAAAATATACACCATGTGGCCAGAACCAGCAAATACTTCGTTATATCCACCACTAACGTGTTCGTTATAAACATAGTTTTCTGTCAATATAACCTTTGCCACAACAGCAGAGATGCCAACCCTAAGTGTAAGACTGGAGGTCAAAAAGTGTTATTTGGACCTAAAAAGTGTAATACTTAAAAAAATAATACTTAGTGAAAGATGATACACAAGGAAGCACAAATTTTTAAAACAAAAAACGAAAAAAAATTAACAAAATATTGTTAACACAAAACGCACATTTAAAAAAAAAAACCAAGACTTTTTTACAGGAAAAAATAACCAAACTGACATATGAACACAAACAGCATCAATATACTGACAGTGACATCATATCCTTTGAGGGTCAATTTTAACATTCAAACAAAATAACTATTACAAGATCATTGTCACAGACAAAGGATTACAACCCTCAGAATCTGCATGAATGTTTACAAGCACCATAACAAGAATTGATCAGTCAGACATCAAAGAACACATTCATGACATTATAGACAGCATCAACAGATACCATTCAACATTTTGTTCACTTGAGAGCAGTCTACAGAAACACATACATGTATATAGATCTTGTGTATGATATTGACTTGAGTTACTAAAAATAACATGGGAATCCCACAGGGGGTATTCCCCAACCCCAGCCAATCAGATTTGTGTATCTTGTGTATTTGTATGTAGACTGAATACTGTGAGGTCACAAGAAGGACTCTTTAGTTAGGAAATACAAATATTTAAATGGTAAAATAATCTACTGATATTATATCTTCAGTGGACTCAAGATGTCACCAAAGACGGCCAGACAGGCTTGCCATTCAACTTCGAGCAGGACAAATCAGGGTAAAACAAAGGTACCATATTCACTTCAATAAGCACTCTGATAACATAGAAAATTGATAAAAAGGCAGTTATTAAAACCATAAACAAGTTAAAATTTTGGTCAAGACTCCCGAAGAAATATACTAACGCATTTCAAACACCATTGCATGTGCTGGGAACATGTTGTATTTTCTATTCTTTAATCCCTCAGGCAAAATGGTATTTCAAATATTTTCTGGAATTTGTTCCTAAAATGTGGGAGAAACCCCACATATATGTAATGGCGTTGGTTCATAAAATCCTGTTTGGCGCTGCTAACCTCGGCTATCTTGGCAGAAAAAATGTGCAACTTTGAAATATGATATATTGCCACACCCCATCATACAATGCACACATTCTCTCTATTAATGCGTAAGAATTAGTGGAGTACCACTTTAATGATGAACCTGTCCAATAACCTGTTAATCCACACAAACTACTTGAAAGAAGCTAAGAACATGACTACTGAGACTCGGGGAAGCTGATGTTTAATCTTCTTTGAGCTCCTCTCGCGCAGCGTAGAAGAGCTTCTGTGTAAACCTAGTAAATGATCCTGCAACAGACAAGAATATTACATCAAATATTAAAACCTGCCCATGAGACCTTTGCTGCATTACCATCTATTCCCTAAGATCCTTAACGCGGCAAGAGAGAAAGATATACTGATCAGGGTTCATGGACACAGAAAACCCCAAATGAAGTATCCTTAGAGACCGAAAAAACTACTGAGAGCATACCTACAGCTCTAGTCTGTCTCACAGTCCCTGAACCACATTAATTTCCTTCTGCCCTGCCCTTTCTGCAATGCTAAAGCTCTAAATGAAGCAAGTCTTGATTTTATAAGGTTCTGAATCTCCCATCTCACTGGGACTCCTTTTCAATTTAAAAGGAACTTGTTTGTATCAAACTGATATATGTTCAGAGAGTAACTACACCCTTTCAATGCATTCAAGGACCCTTATATTACCAGCAAGGATCTGTAAAATTTATGGAGGGCCCCTTGACCTCATTTTTCGTAAGTCAAGGTAAAACTCTGCTGATACACAAGATCTTATTGAAAAGATTGTTTGTGTGAGAGATTACTGTTACACAAAATAACTGACCAGATTGTTTCTGCTCAGGAAAGTAAAACTTGTCAATGACACACAAGTACATGTAACTGACTTTATTGTGTCTACTCAGAAAAGTATTTTGTCCAACTGCATGTGCTCAGCGAAATAACTATTGCTTGTGTGACACGACTGACACACCAAGTAACCATGGTAACTGGTCTTATGGTATGTATTCAGCAAAGTAATTATTGCTGATGTAACACATCACTGACACACCAAGTAACCATGGTAACTAAAGTAAGGATTTCTTGTGTGACACATCACTGACACACCCAGTAACCATAGTACATAAAGTAAGGATTTCTTGTGTGACACATCACTGACACACCACGTAACCATGGTAACTAAAGTAAGGATTTCTTGTGTGACACATCACTGACACACCCAGTAACCATGGTAACTAAAGTAAGGATTTCTTGTGTGACACATCACTGACACACCACGTAGCCATGGTAACTAAAGTAACGATTTCTTGTGTGACACATCACTGCCACACCACGTAACCATGGTAACTAGTCTTGTTGTACGTACTCAGCATTGATGTAAACGCCCGTGGTTTCTTCTTCCACATGACCCCCAGGAAGTAGACGGGGATCCCCGTGGCGATCATCACGAGGCCCATCAGACACTCCATGGGGCTGGACGTCAGTGGCGTAATCAGCAGGAACAGGCAGATCAATAAGAAGAACACGGGGAAGAAGATGTTCACCTGTAGCAAACAACAATCAGGGTGAGTGAGGGAGTTGGGTTACTTAAGAAGTGACATCAAGAACATACAGATCGACCAGGCCCACAGCTTAGAAACACTAAGTATTGTATTAAGGAAAACATCAACACAGGGGCCATCTTAGATACCACTATGTCACTAAACTATCACACCCATTTCTTTTAATGTGAATAGTTACAATATCTCCATGATTGACCTTCAATTATGTAAGGTGTCTCGCTCTCTGTAAATCTTTTTGCAGGTTTAACTGTTCTGTTTATTTGGTCAGAAAATCTTGTTGGTACAAAAGAAAAACAAAAAATATTTGGGATGAGTGTGTTTAGTTTTATGCTGCTTTTAGCAATATTCCAGTAATATCATGGTGGGGGACAACAGAAAAAAGCGTCACACATTGTACCCATGTGGGGAATCAAACCCGGGTCTTCGGCGTGACGAGCAAACGCTTTAACCACTAGACTACTCCACCGCCCCCAAAAGATTTGGAAGCAATACCTGATATGAAGAACTTTTATGAATAGCTATAAGATTCTTACCTTGATTGGACGTTCCATATTTGGACGGGTATATCTGAGAAACAGCAGGCCAGCCACAGAGAGTGCAATGAAGAGTGACTCCACAAATGACCCGTAGTTGATTAAAGCATACACATCGTTGCTGCACAACATCACTAGAGACATGATGCACTGAAATCATGATCAACACGACCTGTAGTCTACTAAAGCATACACATCGTTGCTGCACAACATCACTAGGGACATGATGCACTGAAAAACATGATCAACAATACACGTTGCTGCACAACATCACTAGGACATGATGCACTGAAAACATGATCAACACGACCTCACTACACATCGTTGCTGCACATGTAGTCTACATAAAGCATACACACATCATCACTAGATCAACGACAGTCTATTAAAGCATACACATCGTTGCTGCACAACATCACTAGGGACATGATGCACTGAAAAACATGATCAACACGACCTGTAGTCTACTAAAGCATACACATCGTTGCTGCACAACATCACTAGGGACATGATGCACTGAAAAACATGATCAACACGATACATGCATTGCTGCTGCGCAACTCTAGGGACATAGTCTACTAAAGCATACACATCGCTGCTGCACAACATCACTAGGACATGATGCTGAAAACATGATCAACACGACCTGTAGTCTACTAGGCACATGATGCACTGCAAAACATGATCCACTGAAAAACATGATCAACACGACCTGTAGTCTACTAAAGCATACACATCGTTGCTGCACAACATCACTAGGGACATGATGCACTGAAAAACATGATCAACACGACCTGTAGTCTACTAAAGCATACACATCGTTGCTGCACAACATCATAAGAGTGACTGAGTGAGTGACTTGGGTTTTACGCCGTTTTAAGCAATATTCCAGCAATATCACAGCAGGGTCAACTTCACACATTGTACCCATATGGGGAATCAAACCTGAGCCTTCAGCGTGATGAGCACACGCCTTAACCACTAGGCTACCACACCATGCCTAACATTCTAGGAGGTGATGTGAGTGAGTGAGTGAGTGAGTAAGTTTGATTTTACATCGCTTTTAGCAATATTCCAACAATATCACAGGGGGGGACACCAGAAATGGGGAATTGAACCCGGGTCTTCGGCGTGACGAGCGAACGCTTTAACCACTAGGTTACCCCACTGCCCCCGGAGGAGGTGATGTGAAATGGGGTTGAACGTCACACTGAAGGATATTTCGCTCATATGACTACATGCATGCATCTGTATGTGTGGCAACTTGTACTAGCCCAGAATTAAGCTGGTTTTATAGTGCTAACTCACTGAGATACCATGCCGCAGTTAAGAATGAATAACCCACTCAGACATATTATACTGACTCCATGCCGACCAGTCCTTGCTGCACCCATTAATGCTGAAGCGCCAGGCAGGGACAAACAAGTACCATATTTTAACGTCTTTTGGTATGACGCGGTCGGGGATCAAACCCCGAGACCTGCTCTCCGGGCAGACACTCTAACCACTACACCACGCAGTAACATCCTGGGAACATGATCAAAACAACCCATAGTTGATTAAAGCAGACACATCTTTGATGCACAACATCACCAGGAACATGATGCACTGAAAACACGATGATACGTAGCATCATCACGATGGCACTCAGTTTAACATCTGAGCTGAAAAAACTTTGGTAATTCCATATCACTCACCCCAAACAGCAATGAAGGCAATGGTGTCATCGTCTTCAGACTAATGGTTGCTAGGAAACCAGGCAGATGACCTTGACGAGCTCCCACGAAAAATAACCTGGAAAAAAGTGAATACCCACCATGTAATTACCTGTCACAAAAACATGATATCTATATACTTACCCATACGTAATATAGCCCTGAACATGGAATACTGGATAAACTTAATCTTTGATGGTATTATATGACATTCTGCAAAATATATTGCTTGATTGTATTTGGATTTGCCAGGGAAGAAGGAAGATACCTCTGCTTACCTAGAAGATGTGAAGATTGCACCATTGAGCCCACCAAACGTTGAGCAGGCCACAAATACAGGCATAATCCATGCCATAACTCCCAGAGTACGATTTGCAAAAGTCTGAAACAAAGAGTAATTGCTTTAAAACCATTCTGCTGGATACGATAGATGCACTGGAAATATTGTCCAGGCCCCTATTGCAGTGAGTGAGTGAGTGAGTGTGTGAGTGAGTGTAGTCTGTTTGAGTTCAAATGAGAACGATAAATGATTAAATATCTAGAAATAGGGATAAGTGCACAAAACATAAATAAAACACATGGTCCTGAAACCTCTGTACTCAACAGGATCTGAAATCTGACGTTTATGATCGATCACGGAAAAAGTTATTTTAGAAACCATCATGTAATATTGTGCTATTTTCACGCTTCACACCGAAGGGTGACAAACGGCTGGTGGAACAGCACCAGCACACACTCAGGTGCAACAGCACGTGAGCATCCCCGATAATCTCCTATCATAACTCCTTCTACCTCTTTCAGACTACCTCTGCATCAAATGTGTTGCCAAGTTTAAACGGTTAGATACTTTAAGAAGCGAAAGTGAGTTGTGATTGGTTCGTCATCTTCCCAACGTAGACACCTGATTGGATAAAAAGCCAGCCAAGGGAGGTAATATAATTATAGGGTCAAGCCGTGGTCGTAACGTATACCCTGGAGATTATCGAGGATGCTAGGTGAGATGACCTCAGTTAGTCAGGCATTATTCCATCCGCCATTTGTCACCTCCCACAAATTCGCCTGCCCGACGGTTGGGGGGTTAAAATTTAGACATGCATATGAAGATATTTTGTGGGCAGGTAAGTTTTGAACAGGGCTTGCAAGTTTTATATCTAACCAGCCCTGTAGAAATGGCTGAAATTTTCATACCCTGTTAACACATGCTCTCAACAGTTTTCAAGGGATATCACTTCACGTTAATGAGTGGAAGAAAGCCTGGAGATAGAGTAGCTTCTGATGTTATCACTTTAGTCCAACCCCTGGTATGCAAACCTGCATTCAAACCCACAATCCTGGTGTCCCCAAGGGTCACAACTCTGCACATTGACTTGAGCCATCTCAGACAAGTGGGCCACTGTGACCTCCTGCATTGAGTTACAAAAGATGAGGCGCTCGGATTATCTTGATTGTAGCTTTAACATAACTACATGGAACAAGCTTAAGTTCTTTTCAGTTATAAATATTTTCCCCTGATGACTTACGACAGCTACTGCATCCGACTGCAACATTTCCGCAGGCGTCATCACGGAGAAGTATGCAACGTTCGCCATTAGGTAAATGACAGTCACCATCGGCAGCGAGATCCAGATGGCACGTGGTAGATTTCTAAAATGATAAAAATATGCAAAATATTCAAATTTTCCAAAAACAATACACATGACAGGTACAGATAATTTTACATAAACCATTGGGCAAAATAAGATTAAAGAACTCTTGTTGGATTTCACAATGCTTATTTAACTATCACTCATTCCCGCAACAGTTTGTAAAACATAAACTGTGGCGAAGTAATTCTGTGTAGAAACATATTGGTTCAAAAAAGGGAAAACAAATGAATATGCAAAAACACCACCTATGTTTTAAATGTAAATTTGAGTCAACAGAACAAATATATTGATTTGCAAACATCCAAAGGCTGAGATACCCATCAGCACTTGTGTATTATGACAAATAAACATATATTAATTTTTTAAAGCTTTTAATCAAATTATATTTTTAAAAATAAAACTATGTGCAGGTATTCTTTGAATTCATAGAATACTGCTAACTTTCAAATGAACTGAAATTTAAAATCCAACAAAGCATAAAATCAACTAAGAGGTTTCTTCTCATTAGTTTGCTAAAGTTTTGCGTACATTTCCACTTGATTGAAGAACAGCGGACACCATAGGGCATCATGAAGGATTAGCAAATTGGCTGGTTTAAACAAAGTGAATTTCAAAGGACCACATTCAAGGGCATCCATCACCAATAGCATGCTTGATCTACACTGATGTATTTCTGCTCAGAGTTTACCATTGTAAAAGGAATAAAATGAAAGAAAGAACATATATGACAATCTACATCTTGAATCACATTTAGTACATTTTCGTACCAGCACACGTGTATAATTTTCTTTGTAAATGTTATGGCTGTGTTCACTGAAATAATGTTGATGATTGCTCTTGATGACAGACTGTTGTGAGTTGCATGTCTTGTAGTATTCTTGAATTTTCTGTTCTGATGAAATGTTTGATGATGGCCTGGTTATTCATTGATAGGTTAATACTTGGCAGAGCAATCTGCAAAATAACAGTGTCACAAAGACTGCACGCATGCTAGTCAATGTTCAGAGCCGACAGCTATTGTAACACTAAATCTCTCAAGCAGGGCAATCATACTGTCAGAAAACAAGACCTGTATGTAGAGAGGTAATTGGAAATTGAGAGCCGGCAACTAAAATACACCAAGCAAGAGTACACCGAGCTTAAATACTGAAAATGGGTACCCAGTGGTATCATTACGGACGGATGCACAAGCGGCATCGACTATATCCACCCACATTCCAAGCAGGGAGGATAACAATTAGAGATGAATTGAAACAATTAAAGTATGTACTTGAAACAATGTGACTATTAACCTTCTAGGGTCTCACAAGCAGCTTTGGTTATCCGTGTTAATAATGTACATAATGCTGTATGCACTTAGAGCACGTACCTGCAACTAGGAGCTCAGCACTGTATAAGGGGCCATATTATTATTATTTTCAAAATAACTTTTGTTGACACTGGAAATCAATCCCAGTTTTCAAAGATCTAGAATGCTGGATAACTTACATGCCATTTTTGAAAGAAAAAATATTCATCTCAAGATAAAATCTCACTAGCAACCCCATTCCAAATCCTATTACAGTCAACCAGTGTCTTCATTTGGTGATTTGCCCACACAAAAGGTGTCTGCCTGCTGCTGCCAAGTACTGCCCTATATATAACAACTGACCAGAAAGAACAAGGACACACTTCCATCAACGCAATCTTGGCAGGTGAGTGACATCTCTATGTTGTTACTATCATTCCAGCCCAGCTACATACAACCCTAGGCCATGTGGTCCCACTCAAACCTTCACCCTGTGTTTGTTTATACATACACACGGGAGCATCACTGCTTTCTTCTAATTCATGGGTGCAGTTTTAAAATAAACAAAACAGTTCTGAGTTATTATTAATACTGTTCATTCATTTTGTTACATAAAAAGTGACAATGTCTGTTGACAGTAGGTTTCATTGTGTCCCAATCCTGGGGGCAACAGAATAGTACCACTGGGGGATCTGGGGACAGAATAGCACTGAGTGCCCCATGCTTGTCTCCACCAGGGAATCTGGGGTCAGAATAGCACCGAGTCCCCATAGCACCGAGTGTCCCAGCATCGAGCTTGTCTCCACCAGGGAATCTGGGGTCAGAATAGCACCGAGTGCCCCATGCTTGTCTCCACCAGGGAATCTGGGGTCAGAATAGCACCGAGTGCCCCATGCTTGTCTCCACCGGGGAATCTGGGGTCAGAATAGCACCGAGTGTCCCATGCTTGTCTAGCACCGAGTACCCCATGCTTGTCTCCACCAGGAATCTGGGGTCAGAATAGCACCGAGTGCCCCATGCTTGTCTCCACCGGGGAATCTGGGGTCAGAATAGCACCGAGTGCCCCATGCTTGTCTCCACCGGGGATCTGGGGTCAGAATAGCAGAATAGCACTCCACCCAGGAGTCAGAATAGCCCCCCATGCTTGTCTCCACCGGGGAATCTGGGGTCAGAATAGCACCGAGTCTGTCCCAATGCTTGTCTCCCCACCCGGGGAATCTGGGGTCAGAATAGCACCGAGTGTCCCATGCTTGTCTCCACTGAGGGCATCTGGGAGGGTCAGAATAGCACCCGAGGGCTTGGGCATCTGGGGTCAGAATAGCATCGAGTGTCCCATGCTTGTCTCCACCAGGGAATCTGGGGTCAGAATAGCACCGAGTGCCCCATGCTTGTCTCCACCGGGGATCTGGGGTCAGAATAGCACCGAGTGCCCCATGCTTGTCTCCACCAGGGAATCTGGGGTCAGAATAGCACCGAGTGCCCCATGCTTGTCTCCACCAGAATAGCACCGGTGTCCCATGCTTGTCTCCACCAGGAATCTGAGGAATCCGGGGTCAGAATGTCTCCACCAGGCTTGCTTGTCTCCACCGGGAATCTGGGGTCAGAATAGCACCGAGTACCCCATGCTTGTCTCCACCAGGGAATCCGGGGTGAGAATAGCACCGAGTACCCCTTGCTTGTCTTCACAAAGGAATCCAGAGAATAGCAGTTTTGGCAATTACCATTTGAGTTGTGAACATTTATCACTGGATTTGCTTACAGTGGGGTTAGAAGTATCAAACTTACCAAATGTCATGACCTGCCTTTAAAAAACTAGCTTCATGACATATTTGTTTCTATAACAAACAACAGCCATGTGTGCCACCAATCTATGACATAAGTGACATGTATTTTGTTCCTATTACTAAGAACCTGTGACAATACGGGTTAGAATTGTCTTCCGCAACCCACGCTTGTAGTAACAGGCGAATAACAGGATCGGGTGGTCAGACTTGCTGACTTGTCACACATCCCAATTATGTATATTGATGCTCATGTTGTTGATCACTGGATTGTCTGGTCCAGACTCTATTACTTACAGACCGCCGTCACATCACTGGAATATTGCTCGTGCGTCAAACAAACTATATTATTAAGAACATTCAAGATATGAAAACATATTTAGGTTTGAAATTATCCCGCATATTGTATTGAAAACAATTAGAGATGAATTGAAATAATTAAAGTATGTAGTTGAAAGGTAGGGTGAGAGTTTGTTGAATTCTCTCTATGTTGCATATCCTACACAGCTACCATTCATCAGATGGATATATTTCAACCACTGAATCCATACTCTCCAGGCTTGGCTGATTGAATTCATAACACATTTAACATCAATTTAAGTCAATACAAATATCACAAATTTGCCTCAATAGCTTCTCAGTATCGATCATAATCACCTTTCTTTTTAATGAACGCATAATCTACTGACTGAACAAGCTGAATCGATTTGCTGAAGGCTAAACAGCTGTGTTTGACAATGTACCTGTAACATGGCAAAATTGTACTAATTATCACTAGGAGAAGAAAAAGTGTGAATTATTTCTGATTCAATGAATTTACATGGTATGACAATGGAGCATATCATATATGTCTACACCACCATGAATGCTATACATTTTTTAATCCAGGTACAACTGAACGACTATCTTGACAAATATTTTGCATGACAAACACGATAAAAATACTACAATTGAACATAAGACACGTTTAATATATATTAATCCACTGAATATTAGTAACATACCACTTTTATTATAAGATAGGAAGAATTTTAGTGCATGCTTGTACTTTTTGGCACAGACACAGACACAGCAACTTTCAGGAGCACCTATTCATTTTATGTGTTCAATCAAATACATTTATCTCACAGATTGAAAATTGGATTAAAAATATTACAGGAACTCATTTGATCATAGACTTTAGATCCCTTATGCTTGGATGCTAAAGATTCCGTTCTGAAAAGCCATCTCTTTCTTATTATTTATCATAAACAAAACTTGAGTAACTCTAGATGTAATGTTACTGACTTTTAAATGACCTATTTTACAAATACAACAATACTCCATTACAACCAGTGAAACGTTACTTTTAGCAGTATTCCAGCAATATCACGGTGGGGGGACACCAGAAATGTCCTTCACACATTGTACCCATGTGGGGAGTCAAACCTGGACCTTCAGCATGACAGCAAACACTTTACCCACTAGGCTAGCCCACTGCCCCTTGAGGAAAACAGCACAAACGCAATAGTAAATGAGTAATCGTTAACTACAGTAATCAAGTATCAATTATCGATGCTCAAGACGTCAATCACCGGACTGTCTGGTCCACATCTGATTATTCACAGACTGTGATAGATAACTGGAGCATTACTAAATGTGGCTTAAAACACAAACAAATGTTTATCAAAAATGTTCTGGTTGAAGTGATTTAAGAAAGATATTTTTAACTATTTCAACATTACTGGAAATGTTAAAACAGTATATGATACTATTGCTTTCATTGTTCCTCTACATTCAGTAGTATTGCAGCAGGGTAATGAGGCCCTTGACATTAACACTCCGCAGATTGCCCATCCTTATCTATCAAAATGTCACCTACAAATACCATTTCCTAGGTTCAGCAACAACTGGGGAGCTCTTTAGGAGTTAAAGGTAGTCATCAAGCAG